TATATATTCAAGAAGCTCAGCGAACACCATATAGAATAGATCCCAAAAGAAAAATATCAAGATATATCATAATCAAATTGCCAGAACCAAAGATAAGGAGAGAATTCTGAAAGCAGCAAGGGAGAAACAAAGAGCAACCTTTAAGGGAGAGCATGTAAGATTAAGTGCCAATTTCTCAACATAAACCATACAAGCAAGAAGACAGTGGAATGACATATATCAAACGCTCAAAGAATGTAACCATCAATGAAGAATACTGTACCCAGCAAAACTGTCCATCAGATATGAAGGAGAGATCAAGATATTCCCAGAAAAACAGAACCTAACAGTTTGTAAAAACAAGATCAGCAATGCAGGAAACACAATGAGATGTCCTTCTTACAGAGGTGCCATAGAAAGCAGGATGGACCAAAGTAACTAGCAACAACACCAAAAAGAACTCAGCAAAATGTTAGCAATAAAACCGAGCCTCTCGATAATCACACTGAATGTGAATGGTTTCAATGTACCACAGAAGAGAAAAAGAGTAGCAGATTGGATAAAAAAACCCATCAATAGGCTGTCTATAAGAGACACACCTGAAAAATGAAAATAAACAAAGACTGAAAATAAAAGGGTGTGGAAAAAATATACCAAGCAAATGGCAACCAGAAAAAACCAGGAGTGGAAATATTAATCTCTGATAAAATAAATTTCAGTGCAAAAACTGTCAAAAGTGACAAGGAAGGTCACTAAATAATGCTTAAAGGATCAAAAGAACAAGAGGACCTAACAATAACAAATGTCTATGCACCAAATGAAAGACTTGCAAAATATGTAAGACAAACATTAACAAAACTGAAAAAGGAAATAGACAATATTATATAGTAGTTGGAGACTTCAATACACCCCTCTCAAGAAAAGATAGAAATACCAGGAAAAAACTCAACAAAGATGCTGATAGAAAATTCTAAAAATATAAAGAGTGCATTCTCCCTTTAACCTCCAGGAATAAGCTATGTCAAGAGTCAAATATGAATGCCATGTAGCAGTCAATAATTGTGAAATGAAGCCAAAGTGTCCTACAAGCTCAAGGGTGAAGGTGTTTGTACATGTCAGCTGGAAGGGTAGAGAGGGCAGAGTTTGAATTCATGATGGTACTTACTAAAAAACTTAGTGTAATAAACCAAAAAGAATGCTACTAGAAAACTCATTAGCTTTGTAATCCCTTATTCAAAGCACAATAAAAAGGAGAAATGGGGGAAAGGGGAAGGAATGCTGCCTTGGTGAATGGATGGACAACTCCTTTTCAATGCATAGCGAGAAGGGGTCAGGATTACACTACCCTCCCAACACCCCCTGCCAATTCCTACCCATACAAAACACATCAGCAAATGAGAAAAAGTGCTTTAAATGTAGATCCAAGGGAACTAAGACACCTAATCTATAACAGACACTCCACAAAGCCAAAGTAACAAGGGGACAGGTTACACAGGATAAAACATTCTGTGCCCAAAAACTTTACCTTTTTTTTTCTTGCTCTTCCTTCTCGATTTTGTGGGATGTAACATATGTTGAAAACAGATGGCAACACCTATTTAGAAGCTTGACAAACTCTACCATAGCATCCTCTTTGGACATGCTTCCCAAGGCTGCCCATTCTCTCCTGTAAGAATATCAAGAAAAGTTCAGATCACTTTAGCTTCACTAATATGAAAACTTGATAGGATCAATTCAAATTATCAATGAGATTCTACTATAAGGAAATGGCTCAAAACCTTAAGCCTTCAGGAAACGAAGAATTCCTAAATCAGATATACTACATATAATCTAAGCTGATTGCTACAAATGGCAAATAACTACCTATAACCTCATAATTCCTATGCTAGCAAAAGGCTCTCAGAGTTTCATTTTGCTTATAACATAGTTTAGCCGTAATAGAATAAAATAGTCAAGGTGTTCTTTTTCTCACAACCACTTATTTTTCCTAATGAGGGAATCAATTATTGTTTATTTTAAAAGGCTGTTTTAACACTTAAAAAACTCCCATTAAACTCAAACTTTGTCATCAAGTTAGAACCAGCTCATAACTGACCCTGCAGCAGGTTTTCAGAGACTGTGAATCACATGAGAGGAGACAGCCCATCTTTCTCCCAAGGAGCAGCTGGTGGATTGGAACCAAAGATGCTGCCTTTGAGCTAGCAGAGCGCCTCTTTGATATAACACTGGTGAGAAGAAAACCATGTGGTGCCTATCTCGTGTTCATAACCAGAAAAGTAAACGGCTATATTTAATCATAAACATTTCTAAGCCAGAAATAAATATCTGAAGACTGCAGACGCTATAAACAAAATAGTTAATTTCCTATTCTAAGCTAACAGTCATTTACACCCTAATTAACTTTCTACCCCTTACAACATTCTTGTCATTGAATTTATTACACAACATAACAACTTACCTCCTGTCATTCCCCAAGACATCAAAGAATCCAACCTCAGGGGAAGTGTCTGGGTTGTAGGGCCCTAGGAGGACCTGCTTATGCAGAGCCACAAGTTTCAGTTTTTCTTCATAAGTTGAATGAAACGCTTTCCCATCTTTTTCTAGAAGACAAAGTAACAACAACAAATTAACACTGGAAAAAATATTATCAGCAATATATCTTTAAGTCTTGCCATAAAGTGTATTATAAACTGTCTGCAGTAGAAACACTATGCTTGGGATTTTTATACTAATTTTTCTTACTATATTTTATAATTGGAGTGCAAGATAAAGATGTACAGAGTTTATAAAAAAGAAGCTAGGTACCAATAATTTATGTTAAAGCAACCACAAAAAAAACCTATCAAGCTGCAGTCAGCCACACAGATACAACTGTAACATTTCTCATTGTATATAGCTATTAGGAATAATGAGAAAGAACCACAACTTAAAAATTAAATTTGTAAGAATTATTTTTAATGTGACCATACAGAACAGATTATACATACTTTAAAAGGAAATTCAAAATACATCCATCTAAACAGAGCAGCTTATGTTGTTGTTAGGTGCCATCAAGTCAAGTACAACTCATAGCGACCCTATGACTATCTGAACCCTGCTCTACCCTGCATCATCCTCACACTTTCTGACACACAAGAGCCCACTGCAGCAGTCACTGTGTCAATCCACATGGTTAAGGGTTTTCCTCTCTTTCGCCAGCCCTCCATCCTTCATGTTCCTCTCCAAGGAATAGCCCTTCCTAGCAGTATGCCCAAAGTATGTGAGGCAAAGCCTCATCGTTCTTGCCTCCATACAGCACTCTGACTGCACTCTCTCCAAGATATATCTGTTTGTTCTCTTGGGCTGTCCATGTTCAATGTTCTCCAACACCACAGCTCAAAGGAGTCTATTCTTCTGTCATCCTTATTCATTGTCCAGATCTCAGACGTAGAGCAAGTAATCGGAATGACCAAGGCCTGAATCAGACAGACCTTAGTTCTCAAACTGACATAACTATTCTTCAATAATTTGAAACAGTCCCTAAGTACAGATTTTTCCAGTGTAACACGTCTCTTTTCCTGACTGCTGGTACCAAGGGAGTTAATTGTGGATCCAAGGAAAAGGAAGCTGTTGACAGTTTTAATCTCCTCTCCATCCATCATGATGCTGCCTATCAGGGCCAGTGGTAAGCAGCTTTATGTTCCTGACATTGCAATCCAATCCACACCAAAGACTGCATTCACAGGTAATAAGATACCATTATTAATAACAGCTATCAAATCGTTTTCCTTTCTTTATATTCTGATTGACCTCTGACAAATCTCCACAAGAACTAATCACTACTGAAGTCAATCTTACCTATACAGATATTCAACTGCCATTTGTACTTTTGCTACTTACCAACACGTCTTTCTCCAAATTTAAAGGTTTCCTTGGCACCTACTTAATGTTGTTGATTGCCTTCAAATCCAGCACAACTCATAGCAAACGTATGAACAAAAGGGTTGAAGCTTTTCTATAACTACTGACATTTATCAAGGTTTATAGTGTTTCCAGAGGCATGTTGTTTAGGAAGTGGATGCCACTCCTGCTTCCAAATTTACTGCTCCACATATTATTTACAACTTGTTTTATGTTAATCATGTCTCACTTTCATCACCCTCATAAAAGATCCCTATGGCTGTATCCTAATTTAAAACAAACCAACGAACAAATCCCAAACCAAACAAGGGAAATCCGCTCCAATTTTAGATTTTAATCTTCTGGTAGAAAAGTTTATTTAGAAAGTTTTGGTCTTTAAAACCAGACAGACAATAACCAGCCTGCCTATGGCATTTTACCTTGATCTTTTTGTTGAGAGTCTTCCTCTCTTTGCTAATCTTTATCTCTCTAAGTCTAATGTCTTTTTCTAAGGAATTGCTTCTCTTGACAATATGCTCAAAGTATGTGGCATCCTGGTTGCACTTTCTCAAAGAGAATCTGTTCTGTTCTTTTGGTAGTTCATGGGCTATTCTGCACTCTTCTCCAACATCACCAATCAAAGCCATTGATTCTTTTTCTAGCATCCTTATTCAATACCCAGCTATAATAGCAATTTAAAAGACCATGGCTTGGATCAAGCACAACTTAGTCATGACATGACATTGCTGACACCTTCAATATTTTTCTCCATCTATTTCCTCTGAACTGTCTGACACAGAAATCCTTCCATAAACTTGGTACCTGGAATTTTGACTTAGAGACTCCTAAACTCAAGAGAGACTGGCAGCAGCACAAGGTGTTAGGACACAGAAGTGAACTGAGGCCTAAGCCAACATTCAAGGGCTGGTTGGGGGAAGGGAGGTGTTGACTGAGGTAGGTAAGTGGAAGGGGATGCTGGTGAAGTAAGGACAGGGATGAGTCAAGACACACAAGTCAAATTAACCTATTAATTAATTTCTATAATAGGGAATTTTCTTTCACTGGCTCCTTCCTGCAAAATGCTCATCTGTCAGATACTGTTCTTAAGCTGATCATTCAAATTAGACTAGGAAGAAGGATTGACCATCCACTTCTGAAATAACAGGTCTTTGAAAACTCTATGTACAATATAGCACCCTTACACTAGCAGATATGGCAACTAAGACTGAGCCTTCAAAATATGGAAACATAAAGGGGGAGGAACAGTTCCAAGCAAACACTGGTGATTGGAACGTGGATATAAGCAGCATGAAATGCAGGGAAACTGGACATTGTTAAGAAAGAAATGGAATGTATATTGGTGAAATGAGATACATTAGCATGGGACACTTTTAATCAATCATATAATCTACTAAGCCAGAGATAAAGAAAAGGTGAGGAAAACGGGGTCTCTTTCATAGTTAAAAAATCATTTCTAGAACCATCTTGAAATACAATGTTGTGAGTAGGATAACATCCATAAGCATAGAAGAAAGTCCAGTGAACACCACTATCAAATATATATACCAACAACCAGAGTCAAAGAAGAGGATATAGAGGATTTCCACCAATATTTGCAGTCAGAAATTAACCAAATATACAATCAAGATACATTAATAATGAGTGACTGGAATGCAAAGACTGAGAACAGGGAAGAAGATCAATAGTAAAAAAAATATGGCCTTGATGACAGAACTGAGGCTGGAGATAGAATGGCATATTTCTGTCCAATCAATGATTTACTCATTGCAAATACCTTTTATAAGAAATATAAACACAGATTATACACAAGGATTTCACATGATGATACGCACAGGAATAAAATTTATTACATCTGTGGAAAGAATCGCTGGAGAAGCTTAATATCAGTTGTGAAAACTAGGACAGGTGCTAACTATGGAAAAGACCATCAACTACTCACATGCAGGTTCCAACTAAAGCTAATGAAAGTTAAATCAAATCCATAGGAACCAAAATCTGACCTGACTCTATCCCACTCAAATTTCCCATCTCAGGAACAGGTTTAAGGCTCTGAACACTAATTAACAAAGACCAACTATATTATCCATGAAGAATGCAGAGAGGAGGAAGACCAAAATGGATGTCAGTAGGGACTCTGAATATTGCACTAGAGAGCCAAGAAGCCAAAGCAAAGGGAAGAAATCAAGATGTTAAGAAGCTTGAAGTGAAGATTTCAAAGGGCAGCACGTAAAGACAAAGCAAAGTATTGAAATGTGCAAACTGCTGGAGTTAGAAAATGAAAAGTGCTGAACTCGCTTGGCATTTCTTAAGCTGATGGAACAGAAGAACAAATTTAAACTTTGAGTTACAATACTTAAGGATACTATGGGCAAAATATTACATGATCCAGGAAGCATTAAAAGAAGATGGATGGAACTCTGGATTCTGCCTTCTGTTCTTATCATCTGATTTTCAGGCGGCAGGAGAAACCAATAGCCCGTTATCCAATCCACATTTTGGAACTTGCCAAATTCTACAACCAGAACATCTGCTGAGTGCAATTTTCTGAATTTTCTGTTTGCAACTGAGCACCTAACCAGTGCATAACCAGGCTACTGCTGGATGACTAGAGAATTTACAACAATGAAATATTGTGGAGAAGCAGCAACAGGTAACTGCAACTCTGGGAAGCACAGCTGGATGCCTAAAACTGAAAAATCTTGGAGAAAGAAAGAATTTGACCACAGGAGACCAAAGTTTTCAAGAACAGTGAGATATCAAGTAAAGAAAGCACTCCTGGACAGGCTGTGGATCCATTTCAGACAGGAAAGGATTCCTAGTGAAAGCGAGATAGAAGTGCTAGCAGGACTTCTGGACCTGTCACCACACCAGATCAAAATCTACTTCCATAGGAAGAATTTACAATATGAGAAATGTTTCCAGAGACTGGAGAGATCAACTGCGCATCCACTGGGTCAGCAGCAGGACCAGCAACTGCAAGGCCGATCTTATCAAGGTTTGTCTCGAACAACGTTTTTGGATGCCGTTTATTTCTGGATAGTAGTCACTGTGATTCGTATCCTCGTTAAGACATATTTACCACTAAATATAACAACTGAAGATTTCCTGTTATTAATGTGAAATAAAATTTAATCACAAAAAAAAGGAGATGGATGGAGTATACAGAATCACTGTACCAAAGAGAATTGGCTGGCATAGAAGAATTTCATAAAAAGTATATGATCAAGAAGCAATGGTGATGAAGGAGGAACTTCAAGCTGCTCTAAGGAACTGGCTTTATAAGGCCCCAGGAATTGATGGAATACCAACTACTGACATTTATAAACAAACAGATGCTGCCCTGGATATGCTCACCAGATTGTGCCATGAAGTCTGGAAGACAACCACCTGGCCAACTGATTGGAAGAGATCCATATTTATTCCTATACCCCCCCAAAATGAGCCCTGACAAGAGTGTGGAAATTACTAATATCACACACAAGCAAAATCCTGCTGAACATTATCCAAAAACGACTGAACAGTACATTAACACAGAACTACCAGAAATACAAGCTGGGTTTAGAAGGACGTGGCACTAGATGTATTATTGCCAATGTCAGATGGATCTTGGCTAAAAGCAGAGTACAAAAAAAAAACAAAACAAAACAGAGTACCAGCGGAATGTCTACCTGTGTTCCATTGACTGTGCAAAGACATTTGA